GCCCTGTGCCCAGTTAGGTTCCTCCGTCCCAGGATCGGCGGGACGGGAACGGAAGAGAGGAAGGGGAAACGCACTTGCCAGGACTCGAGGTCCGGGTAAGCACACCCGGAGGACTGAGACCCTTGACAGAAACAAAAGCGCTCAGAGGACACCCAACCATGGCCAAATCTCCCGCTCTTTCCCCACGCGGCTCGCCCTGCATCAATTCCCGCCCGCCTGGAGACGTCGCCCGTTTCTCCTCCGGTCCTATTGCGAGACCTTCGGGAGAGGGACGTGGCGGTGCCCGAGGCTCTTCTACCTAAGCGTAGCTTTCGGGAAAGCGGCCCTTGCCTCTCTCGCTGGTCTGCAGCCCCTTTCTTTGAATTTTAGTTTTCTGTGTTCGTTCGTAAACTTCTGTCATTGGCCTCTATGCTTTAGGACTTAAAACCCTTTGGACCATCTCAGGACAAATTTACACGAGTAGAAGGTAGCTTCGTATGTTGTTGTTTAGTTGTTAAATTGTGTCCGACTCTTCGTGACCCCGTGGACCAGAGCACGCCAGGCCCTCCTGTCTTCCACGGCCTCCCAGAGTTGGGTCAAATTCATGTTGGTTGCTTCGATGATACTGTCCAACCATCTCGTCCTCTGTCGTCCCCTTCTCCTCTTGCCTTCACACTTTCCCAACATCAAAGTCTTTTCCAAGGAGTCTTCTCTTCTCATGAGATGGCCAAAGTATTGGAGCCTCAGCTTCAGGATCTGTCCTTCCAGGGAGCACTCAGGGTTGATTTCCTTTAGAATTGATAGGTTTGTTCTCCTTGCAGTCCAGGGGATTCTCAAGAGCCTCCTCCAGCACCACAATTCAAAGGCATCCATTCTTCTGCGGTCTGCTTTCTTTATGGTCCAGCTCTCACTTCCATACATCACGACAGGAAAAACCATAGCTTTGACTATTCGGACTTTTGTTGGCAAGGTGATGTCTCTGCTTTTTAAAATGCTATCTAGGTTTGTCATCACTTTCCTCCCAAGAAGCAGACGTCTTTTAATTTTGTGGCTGCTGTCACCATCTGCAGTGATCATGGAGCTCAAGAAAGACAAATCTGTCACTGCCTCCATATCTTCCTCTTCTATCTGCCAGGAGGTTATGGGGCCCGTGGCCATGATCTTAGTTTTTTTTTTATGTTGACAGCTTCCTATACTTCAGCCTTCATTGGCTGCCTAAAGAGAGGCAGGGATGGTGCCTGGCGAAACTTTGGAGGAAGCTGGTTCCAGAGGAAAGGGGCCACTGGTTCCTGGGCTTGGCTTTTTCTTTTTGCATGGTTAGCCGCCTCAGTCCTTAACATCCTGGATTGGGAGAAGCAGGTGGAACAGGCTGCTGGTTTGTAGGATAAACGTTCCTGCAAAGATCAAGGCACTAAACCATTAAAGGCTTTCAAGCTCATCATGACCAGCACCTTAAACTGAGCAGGAAAACTACCAGGGAGCCAAGGAAGGTCTGCCAAGACTGGGGAGATGCCTTAATCCCTGTGATTGGGTACCTGCCATCAGCCTTTTCACGGCAGTTTGGGCCTGATCAAGGGTCAGTGCTGACTTCAAGGGCAGCCCTACCTCAAGAGGGTTACAGTAGTCTATTTTAGAAATTACCGGTGAATGAGCTATTACTTCTCCATGTGGGGGGTGCAGTTGGGCAATCAAGTGAGGCTGATGGATTTTTGTTAAATGATCAAAAAGGAGAAGGGAGGGAGCTCATTTTTTTTAATTATTCCTGACAATGAGGGAGCCGAGCATGCTTTGATCAGAAGGCTTCCCCAACAGGAGGTTGCAAAACTGGAGGTTTTGAAAGGAGAAGAGAGGCCGCCGTTCCTCTGTTGCTTCTGGGAAGCTGGCACTTCCGGGCCTTTCAGAGTGGCTTGGCTTTTTTAAAAAAAAACATATTTTTTCTTCCTCTTGCTGCTTCTTCTGGACGTGCCCCCTTTCCCGAGATGGCTGCAGGTGCGCACACGCACACAGGTGCCAAGGACATTTGGCAGCATCAGCTGCTCTTCCGCTTTCCTTGGAGGGGGACACCGTGTGAGCTCAGGCAGGTCACCATCATGGGGAAGACCCTGTGCCTCCCCCCCAAATCCAGGCCCACCAATGGCAGCCACCTGCTTGCCGGATCCCTGCCTATACCTGCCAGGTGCTTATACCTGCCAGGTGCAGCCGGACCTCCTGGGAAGTGGGCAGAGGGGGCAGGAAAGAGGCTTTTCTCCTGTGGTGTAAACCAGCTGTAGTTTGTTGAACAGGAGGTGATGGGTGTGACTTCCGAGTAGCTCCCACCACTCGGATCTTGCCATGTCTCGCTGATCATTGAGAAGAAAGGACCAGGGCCGGAGGATCCTGTGGGTAACTCTCCTCCACGGGTGTCCCTCTCACCCTGACGGTTCTCCACCAAGGAGTGGCCCAGCGATGCTCGGCCACAGGCAACGGGCCCCTGCCGGCGGTGGCCGGTTGCGAGTGTGTAGCCGATGGGGGCTTTTGGGAATGCTCTACCTGCCTTCTTGAAGACACCCCCTCCCGGGATGGGGAGCAATGTGATGCTCTGCTAGACTAAGGGGCTGCCACACCCGCTTGCCAGCTGGGAGGAACGGGCACGGCTGGACCAGCGCACGTAGAGGGAACCCCTGGCCCCACTCCTGCTCTGACCCTTGGCTGGGCGCGCTTGCCTGAGCAGGGCTGGGCCGTGAGAGTGGGAGGAAGGCCAGCAGGGCCGGAAGTGTGAGGCCAGCCTGGGAACAGGGAGGGAGGGCAAACGCCCTAAATCTTCTGGGGGTTCTTTCAGATGCACCCCTAAAAGGCAGCCGAACTGAGGACTTCTGCCTAGCCTGCTCTCGGGAGGAAATCACAGAGGGCGCGGCATGTTTCCAGCATCCACGAAAGCCTCTGCTCTGCTGGGGAGCCCAGAAAGTGTGCCCCTGGCCTTCCCTGCACAATGTCTGACCCCCGCACCCACCGACCCCTGGGACTAGCCAGGCCTGGCCCCGAAAACGGACCGGATCAGCGTTTCCTGGCGGGGAGTGGGGTCCATGTGCTGGGAGAGGGGCCCTGGGGTGGTCGCCGGGAAGGGGATTAAGTGCCCCCCAGCACAGCAACATTGGGCACCGGATACCAGGAGAGAAGCCCCAGTGGCTGTGCAGAGGATGATGATGATGATGATTGGGGGGACTGTCTAAGCTGGACCTCCTCCGGTGGGTCCAAGACGGCTCCGGAGCGAGAACTGTGTGCCATCCCGCGCCCCTGGGGCAGGTCTTCGATCCGTTCCCATTTTGGGGACTCCGACACCCAGGATCCTCTCAGAGGTTCCCCCCGTGACTTGGTGCCTTCAAGAGACGCTGGACTCTGGGAATTGTAGTCCAGAAGAGGAACTTCCTCAACTCGTCTTGGTGGCCACCTGTGCCAAGCCCTGGGGGCCAGCGGGGCTGGGGGGGGGGAGCCAACCAGCCTTCCAGGCCATTTGGATTTCCTGCCCCAGGGCACCCAAAGGTCCGGGTCCTTCCGAGCCTCCCTCGTTTGCTTCCTGTTTGCAGTTTTGCAAACGGTTCTTCTTCTTCTTCGTCATCTTCGCTTCCTTTTCTCAGACTTTGAAGCTGCTCCCCACGCCCAGAGCCTCGCTCCTGCTTCCGACAAACAGCAGATTTGTGACCCGTCGGTTGATCGTCGCTCTTCTGTACCACCCAGCCAGAGTGGTTTTTCTGGTAAGTGAAACCCCTGTCGGGAGTGGTCACACAGTCCTTCGTGAGTTTCCGTGGCTGTGCTGGGATTCGAACCCAGGCCTCCTGAGTCCCAGGCTGTCGGTTAACAAAAGGGAGTAAGAGCTTCTCAGTGTCCCAGAGGCTGAGGACTCTGGGGAAAGCAATACAGGAGTGGATCTCGGCTGGAAGAGGAGCCGGTTCTGACGTTCTGCCAGAGTCTGCAAAGAGACTGACTTTGGAAACGTTCACAAGCCAAGCCAAGCGACCCTCGCCTTTTCAATTCAGGCCACCTGGCTGAAGATCTCTGTGCCTCCCTGTGAGAAGGCGAGGGACGCCGCTCTGCCGTGGATCTCTCCAATTCCACACAGGAAGAGGGGAAGGGGCTCAGGGGGCCTGGCTGGCCAAGGAAAGTTCCCCTGCCCTCCTCCCCCCACCCCAACCCATGTTGCTTTTAGGCACTGAGAGCTGGGACATCCCTGGGGTGGGTGGGGTGCCTGTCGCTCCCTCCCACCCTGCCCTCTAAGCAAGTCGACTCAAATCCTGATAGGGAAGCCCTTGGTGGTCCTGGCGGGCCCTGCTTGGAGCTCCCACCACCTGCCTTGAAAGGCTGTTTCTGGTGGCTTGCCTCCAGGCTGGAAGCTTTGGCCCCTTTCCCCTCCTCTCCCCTCCCCTCCCCAGCTGTGCCTGATGAAGCGTTCTGTAGAAGCTGAAAGGCCACCTTGTTCATCCTGTTTGAGAGATCCAGGAAAGGAGTGTTTCTCTCCAGCTGGTGGCCTGAAGAGGCTGTTCGTGGAAAGCATGGGAAGACTTCCTGGCAGCCCTGCTGGCAAGGGTGTTGGGGAAGAAACCCATGGCAGGCAGCTGTTCAACTGGTCCAGCCAACCACTTCTTTCCTCCCCCAGCTCAATAATCCTTTTGTGTGTATGTAGGTGTGTGTACGTGTGTTTGCTGGTAAGGGCGTCTGGGTAACTTACCGTCTATAGCCTGGGGAGGGAGGGGAGGAGGTGAAGTGAGAGACCCACAATTCTGGGGAGGGCAGTTGGGGGACTGCGTACATGTGCGAACGTAGGTATCTGCCTTTAGTGCTTGGTGCTCACAGCACAACTGAGGGACGGGGCTTGTAAGCCCCTCGTGGGGCAAACATCAGCATGAGGGGTAGGATCCTTGTTGATGGTCCTTCGTAGAGAAGGAATTCCCCTGAGTTTCCCCACTCCCCCCCCCCCCACTGACTGCAAGCAGGAGACTGCATTGCCTACCCCCACAAGCAGAGGCCAATGGGAACATCTTCTGTTTCCCCTCCTCCTCCGGGGCCGCCCGCTTGTCTTCCCCTCTTAGCTGGGGCGGGCCGTTCCTTGCATTACACCCCACATCGCCTTTTGTAAGGCTGCACCCAACCCGTCCAACGCTCCGTCGTTCGGGCCGGGCAGGTTGCTGCTGCTAGAATTAACTAGTATGAAAAAAGTAATTTTTAAAAATGGCAAATGGTAATTTGTTAGAAATTCAAAACGTGGAGCTTTCCGTAATAGAGCTGTTCTACAAGATCTCACTCCCCCCCCCCACCAGGCGGCTCAACCCTCCCTGGACTCATGGATTCAGGGCCTGAGGCCTGGCAGACGCATCTGCGGTCTTCAGTACACAGAGTCCGGCCCTTTACGGTCCCCTGGAGAAGCACTCCTGTCAGCCAAGGTCACTTTTTCGGGGTGCCTCAACTCCTTGTTGCCCCCCCCTGGGACTGCCCTTCTCCTTCCAGTCTAGGCCAGACCAGGGCTCCAGCTGCTTCCTGACCCCTGGGCGCTTCAGAGGCCTTTCCTAGGGCTTAGTCAAGGGGCGGTGAGCTGACCCGAGGCTTGTCATAGAATCATAGAACCACAGAGTTGGAAGAGACCACAGGGGCCATCGAGTCCAAACCCTCCCCCCGCCCGACATGCAGAAACATCCGTCAAAGCACTCCCGACAGACAGCCATCCAGCCTCTGCTTAAAAACCTCCGAAGAAGGAGACTCCACCACCCTCCGAGGCAGCCTTGTATTCCACTGCCGGACAGCTCTGACTGTCAGGAAGTTCTTCCTGAGATTCAGGTGGAATCTCTTTTCCTGTAGTTTGAAACCATTGCTCCGTGTCCCAGTCTCTGGAGCCCTGGGAAACAAACCTGTT